TTGGCTTTCCATCGTTTAAAAATACGATCCCTTTCCTTCATTTTATAGTACAAATCGTCCGTTACCCAATGTTTTTTATTTCTTTTGTTAAATTTTACGGCTCTCTGTATATTAATTTTCGAAGAATTATTATATATCTCATGCATTTCAGTAATTATATTAGCTGTAAATGAGTTAACGTCAGTACTGATTACTGTGCTCCAATCTTTTTCTTTGATGTATTGATCAATTTTGTTATTATTCAATTTAATTGGGTTTGTTTCCCGTTCATCTATATATCTATACTCCTTCTTCTCAGAAACAACCCACTCGTATACAACCGAAGCGCAAAAACCTTAACAGCACCACAGGCTCACAAAATACTGCAATATCTCCACCAAAAACCCAAGCAACCTCACAAATACGACCTCAAGAACAAAGAAACACCATAAATACAATTAAAAAACACAAAACTCCTTCTTCACAGAAACACACCACGTTATCACAACCCACTCGTATTCAACCCAAACGCAAAGCCAAAGAAACACTTACACAATAAAATCCATTTAATAAAATTACAGGAATTATTATAATGATTTTTTTTGTTTTGTTTTGTTTTCCTCTTTCCTGATAGCGTTGGCTATTGTGCCCATCAATAGGTGTGTTGGTAAGTACGAATTACATACTATCCCTAGATGTCCAATGTACGTGTGTGAGTTTTTTTTTTAAGGACCCTACATAACTTCACCAGACACAGACACAGACACTAATCGTTACTTGATTTTAATCCGTGCGATTAGTTAACCAGGCTAGACCTGAGTTCTCACAAGAAACACCGACCATAATAATAATAGTAATAATAATAGCCTTTATTTCTCACACATCTTGTATATAAAATATGCCATAAAGAGAGCAATACAAAAATTTCCAAAGATGCGGAGAAATCACACGGTGCCAATTCAAATTGGTAGTCAGCTACCTTGGCTATTCAAGTTCATCGATTCCTGAGCGTGAAAATGATAACAACCGTCAGTGTATATTTCTCAAATCATTGAATAACGAATCTAACTGCTACATCACAGCCCAAATTATACTATCGAAAGATGAGATACAACCAAATACTGTGCGATCAAAAATGAGTTGCTGTCGAGTCACCTTTGGAACTTTTGTTTACATGGTAAATCGTATTTAACTTGAACTTCCAAAGGCGACTCGACAGCAACCCATTTTTGATCGCCCGTTACCTACCTTAATATATTACTACAGGAAACTCGCTACCATTTGCATTTGCGTAACGCGAGACACGGAAAAGAGCGCCATCTACACGACTCGGTGCGGAATGACGAACAATTAAGGAGCAAATTAATTATATAAACAAGGTTATTTTATTATTTATCATATCACTAAGATATGTGATATTACTAAATACCTCAATATTATCAATTTATCCATAACAATGACTATCACAAAGCACGTAAAACGATCAATAAAGTTTAAACCAAGTATGACTTACTGTTGACACTTCTTACCGCAACGTCGCGTCGTGGCGCTGTAATTTACGACCCGTTGCCAGTTTCCTGTATTAAGGCTGGGATTCCCTGAAAAGAGAAGTACCCTTAGTAAAGGACAAAAGTTGTTAGCGTATTTTCTTCAAAGTAAAAAATCGATATTGGCTGCACTTTGATGTCCGTCGGTCCGTCCGTCCGTCCGTCACACGTACTCCTTCTAAACCACTGAACCGATTTTGACGATATAGGACTCATTAGAAAGGGCTTAGTCCAAGGATTCCGTGCATATCGATATTTTGGTTTTGCGCATGCGCAGTGTCAAAAATTTGGATTAACGCATGTCGTTTTAAGGTACCAGCACAAGTCTAAAGAAACAAGATAGAAAGTCCCTATGAAAACATAAATGACGAAAGCGTAGTTTCCTCCTAATTGTTAATGCAGTCCCATCCTCTTCATGAAACGCTTTTAAATGCTTTCGTAAATAGCATTGCGCATTGTCCACATTAGAAATTTTCTTGAATGACTTCATAAATAAAACATACAGCATGCGTAAACAGTAATTTTGAAACCGGTATTAGAGTTTTAGTTTCATTAATAGTTAAGACCGGTGTTAGATTTGCTTGTATTCCAAGTGCCTATGTATTAATAGTATATTGCATAATAAGTGTGCTAAGAAGCCTATTTCGCACGAGTGTTGTAATAAAATCGAGTGCGTAATAGGCATTAGCACTCGAATTATGTACTATACTTTTTCTACGACTTGAATATAATTGATAAAAGATTGATAGATTACGATTGATTTGGTTCTAAGTATTCGAACTAAAAATTAGAACTGTCAAGTGTCAAATGTCATGGTCTATTTAAAAGGAATACAAAATACAACGTAACGTCACTTATATTTCATGAATGCACGCCAGCAAGCAAGAATTTTATAAATACTTTTTACTTTATAGATTGGAAGTGGGGGTTTTGACATCCCTATTCCTTACTGCAATGTGAGTTTCATTTCAGCACCATAGATGCAATAGCCAATAGGATACAAGATACAAGTGTTGAAGTTGAAGATTACTACCTAACTAGCTCAGGTGGTGTTTGTGCTCTTTTTCATCACAGTTTTGAACGATTTCTATATTGTTGCAGTTGCCAATGTATTAGGTACCTAACTATCGATAATACTAAGGCCTTCAAAACGCTGCGTTCTTTTAACGAGTTTTCCCGGGAAGGAAGCATCGGACTACCCAGTATTCTAAAGTGCACTATTTCGTGTTCCATGCAAGTCGTAATTGGCACCATCCATTAATTCTTCGAGTACTTATTGTAGTTTTCTAATATACAAAATAGTAGCAACAGAGTTTGCTTAATTAACTAAAGGCAGCTTCAAACCAATCTTGAGTAGCCCATTACGATTATGAAAAATAATTGGACACGGCTAATAAATTACATACAGGCTCCATGGATTGCGTCTGTTTTACATTTCACACGCTGATTTTAAGTGCGCTCATTCCATTCTCATACAAATGGCAATGTTTAAACAAATTATGAGTAACTCTGTTGAAAGAAGTTTACAAAATGTGAAACATAACCTACAACGGCTACAACCTTAGAGAAGGAAGGCTACAACAACAAAATCTGACGTTACTTCATTCATTAGGCAGCGCGGACAACCTACTAAATTAACATTTCGCGTTTGACCTTTAACCTGTTACGTAATATACATTAAGTAACAGTTCTAATTTTCATTATGCATGCCTGAGAAGCGTTACGACGCGCACTTACAGCAGTTTGTTTTGATTTTCGATTTTTCGATTTATATATTAATTTTCTGAGCCAAAAAATTAAGTTTCTTTCTGTTCGGCGGTTCTAGGATAAACAGTTTGATTTCAACTAACATAATAAAGAAAAATTTTCCTTTTTATGCAGTGAAGTTTTGTGAATGAATGAGTTAACCCTGCTCTTACAGGAATGTGCCGCCTCAATCCCCATTTCTCTTAACATGTGTTACTTACACATTAAAGGCAAATTCCTAAGGAAATAAGAACGTAATAGGTTTTAATAAAGATTATTGATTTTTATTCATGTATCCTTTCCTATTTCCTCGAGGCCAGAAAAGGACAATCACCTGAATACTAGCCGGAGCCCAACAAAAATTGTTTTATGTAAGAAGAACCACCCCGAAATAAAGTAGCTTGAGAAAGAAACGGTAGGAAGAGTTGAAAAGTAACCAGCTGATACCTAAATGAAAAATATTATTAAATATGACGTATTAATTAATAAACAATGCAACCCACCCCACCCACATAAGCACCTGTCCAGCTAGCTCAACTAGGCACTAACAAAATCTTTTCCGTGAAATAACAAAATCTTTTCCCTGAAAATGTTGACTATAAAATTTTCTCAAGGCACGTCCGGCTCCGGCATCCGCCATTAGAAAAGTTACCAGACTTAAATTTTATTAATTTGAGAAACTCTTTAACAGGTAGGTAGTTTGAAGAAGGAGGTCGGTTTCATATAAGCGATAACTACTTGAACGATAGAACACACAAACTTTTTCTTTAAATATACGTGATGCACCACTGAAGATTAATTCGAAACAAAACTTTTATCACGACGACTTGAAACAAATCTCGCACACAATCAACTTTCTTCTACTGCAACTTTTCAATTAAACAAGACTGACTGCTTTACTCGTGAAACGCCCATCAAACCAAAGAGTCTCGTTTCATGTCCCACTCTTTCCTTCTACTCCTTCTGACTCTACTGCTTTATCAAAATTAATGCGCGTCTTTGAATAAATGAGCACCAGAGCACCTGTGTTTACTTCGGCGAAAAACATCTGCTTATCTTGACATTTAAGTAGGTAAATTTACGCAGCGATAACGAACTCTCATCGCACTCACAGGAGAAAAACTTAGAATAACAACCCTCAATTACTTCCAAGGAATCTAACTTTTTTAACTTTAATCGTTCGATCGATGTGTGTTCAATTTCAAATAACAACCACATTTATACCATAATAAAATTATATTATAAAATAATTTGAAATTTTCATGACAGTTATTAAAGGTGCTGATGCTAAATAGAAACGTCTGCAGTTTACACAAAGTATATTTAAATTATTTATAACCTTTATACGGCATATTATTTACCAGAACTTACAGTTGACATTGCATTATGCTGTAAATCGCTATAAGTACGACGCGCTCTCCTCCTCTCAAAAATGGTATGTAAACAGATACTTGGGACAAAGGTTGTAGAGAATTTTATTTTCGACAATTCTTATAAAAAATGCAAATGACATTAAAATCACAGGAAACGAGATATTTGCAGAAACCCGATTTTTGAAACCTTTTTTGACCTTCAATATCTTGAGACGCGGACTTCCTGCATTTTCAATACCTTTTCCGAATAAGGCAACCTTTTAAAGTTTGTTTGTTAACTTTGTGTCTAGACATGTAAGCTACAGTTAAAACAAAAAAGAACCACAATTTGTTCAGGAAGATGTATTTTTTTCAGGTTTCGAAGAGGTTTCAAGCAATTCTTCTCCTGGTTACCATTTGTTCACGTAGGTCCAGGAACGCTTACCAGGAGAGAAGTGGTTACTAGCGGGCGGCGATCGTACTCAGGATCACCTGATCATCATCGCATCATTCGTAACGGTAAGTTCAGATTATAATGTTGGAGGTAGTAAGTATCTTAATGGTAAAGAATAGTTTACTTTCTTTTCTGATCGTTTTATTCACTTACATTACTTATTAATGCCGTGCTCTTACAAAAGTATCATAATTCGCAGGAACAGTAAAGATGGCCCTTCATCCTGGATGTCCAAACCCCACCTCGACCAACACGTATTACACGAATTTAGAAGACGAATCGGGACATCCCCGCGGTAAACGCTGGAAAAATACAGAGATGAAAGCGATGTCTTGACAGAGACCCCAAAACGACGACGATCCCGGATCCCTCCGCCAAAGGCGGACGTGGATTTAGTGCCACACCTCGCGTTCCAATAGGCACCTGCCTTGGATACGCGAGGAAAGCGAGGGGTTGAAGAAAACGACCTTTGTAGAAACCAAAATGTAAAGTAAATATTTCCTTGTAGTTTGTAAGCTCATCTTGCGTTATAAAACTTTTGTAACAGGGTATAAAAGTAACAAGTAAACAACCGTTGCGGATCTAAATCGGGAGTTGCATTTTTACATATCTAAAGGTAATCTTCTAATGATAACGGACAATGCGTGAATTAATTTTCATTCAATTTAACAATTCGTTGATAAATCTTTTATTAAAACATTTTATAATCTGTTACCGTAATATGCCGCCCCACTCATTACTGACCTTTTTGAAACTTTAAATCTTCAGTGAAGATTAGGTCACCATAATTTAAGATTTGGAATACTTAGGCTAACAGTTTTTGTGAATTAGAATTTGTTACCAATAAATAAACGTCCTTGCGAACTTGAACTAAGCTACTGTGGATTGACATTTCATTAAATTGAAGTACACATAAAATACATTCTTTTCTAGAACTGATGCAGTTTACATATCGCAAATGGAAATAAATAAACATGAAAGTCGATAAATAAAAAACTGCGAACAGTGGAAATTAGATAACTCATTACCTACCTATATCGTTCCACTTGCAAACCATTAGTAGGTACTGTTTACACGGTTACACTTTTTTTCAAAATGTATTCCTTGTGTAAACTAAAAAAATCGTTTTATTGCAGCATTCTAATTGAATAGAATGGCAGGCCAGAGATAACAAATTATGCGTAATATCATAATACTCGTAATTTGCAAAATAAGTTTTTACCCTCTCGTTTTTTTGCATGCTTATTCAAATGTAAATACATTTCTTATGCATCCACCTCATGTTATTCATACATTGTCCGCTATAAATGAATGTAAAGTAGTGTACATTTAGGATATTACTCACTCCTGCAATGGGAAACAAAAACGCTTTATCACATTTTTATAAATAAGCTTAGTGTCTACCGTCTGTTCTATACGTGCATAGTAAAATACAGCTCCATCTTCAGTACTGTTCACTACAGGTACCAATTGAATCCAATCCCCTTTGATTTTAGAGATGCTTCCCAGATTTTTGATACCAATTTGTAAACTGCAAAGAGACTATTGTAGTATTATATTTATACTTCTACTTCAAGAACAGAAAAATTATACATGCTTGGTATTTAATTAGTACCTTTAAAGTTACATTGGTGAAAGTACTAAATTGTATCCTGCGAACATCTTCAAAGATCATTTTCTGTGTGTTACAATTACTTAGTTATAATATGTTATTTATGAAATTAAACTGTTGCTTTTATATACCAATTTTATTAAATGCTATAGCATTTTCTGTTGTAAGTAAGCTCCTTCATGGAATAATCCACGGTTGTATAGCGGTTTAGGCTGAAATAAAATCTTATTTGTAGTTTAATTTATTAAATACAAACCACTTCCTTTTTTTGAACACTAAGTTGTGAAATATTACTAAAGTTGTTAATACTTAATGTCCTCCTAACGTCAGACCAAGAATGTGATAATTTCAGCCATTAACTATGTAGCATTTTTATTAGGTATGACACTGAATTCAACATTTTTCGAAAGAATCATCTAGACTAACAATTAATAGTTGTAAAAATAGCTCTATGGCCTGTAACTTCTAGGATTATGTTTAAACGTATTTAGGTATTTTTGATATATGGTAATAGTTACTTGTAAGAATTCGATTTAATATAGATCACACTTCATTTTAAGTCACTGGTTCATCATTTATACTTACGTGAATATCAAATGTAACTGTAATATGCTACCTCTACTGTTTCAATCCCATAACATCAAATGAATAGTCCCAACGCCGTACCCGTAAAGTAGATTTTGTGTAATGGGATCATTCTTGGGTATTTTTAAAGTAACGAATGTCAGGTAGCTTCACTCAAAGACTGAAATCGTAAAGTAACATGCGAGTAAGCTTAAAATTATTACTTGTAATTAGAATAGTAACAACAAAATAAGACGGAATGAGAATTATTTTAAATCGTAAGGAGTAAAATGAAAAAGATCTATTGTAAATGCAATTACGGAATTAAATATAAAAAAAAACTCCAGTTTGTTTTTTACTCTATGGTTATATATACTTAGAAACAAGGAGGATGGGCGAGATTTTGTTATTCAAAAATGATAAAAAAATTGGTGTAAATTTCGCGAAACAGTTTTTTTATAATCTTGCAGCATTGTGCACACAATAAATAAATTCGTCCTATATAATTTACGTGAATTCGTATACTCTGCCAACTCCGGCACTGCGGCGGCAAACGTGTCTGACTACTGACGTCACGCATAGTCTAGTTTCGCGCACAGGTACGTTTTCTTCCTTCGGGCCGACCCTTGATTTTGAAATGCTTTCAGGGGACGTAAATATCAATATTTTCCGCTCAAATTTTGTTTGCTCGTTTTTTAATAACAACTTCTCAATTTTAGTTAAAATAAAACAAATACCAAAAATGTCGAACTTCCCTATTGTTTTAGAGTTTTGTTGTGAAGAGTATAGGTCACGATAAATTACGAGGTGGTTCGTGTTTTAGTATCTTTTTGATACACATTGAATCATAATGTATTTCCGTGGAACCTTTGAATATAGAATCAAAGCGTGCTTTGAATATAGACTTATAATCAAAGCGTGGAACCATATTTAAATTTATGTTGTTACCTGTCTCATAAATCATACGATTAAAAATAGAGTACCTACAGTAACTTTCGCGGAAAGCGCGAGTTACCAGAAGCATTTGGTCCTTCTTACACCTAGTGTTTGAGCTGATAAAATTAATGCTCTGAAATTCCGAGGGCTACTCTCCAGCTTTGGAACCGTGTTGCGAGGGGACTTGAGCTGTCACGAATCCTGACTAATAAAACACCGATCTGCCCCACAAAAATGCGCTGCAGTCCCTTAGATCTTAGATCTTTGGTAATTTTTACAAATAAATTTGCAAACATGCGTTAAAATGTTATAGTTCATGTATTACCTACCCTAATTTTACACTTTTGCTTTATATTTCTGGAGTTAGTTTACAATTTTACATTGCTACCTGTCTGTCTCTCCGTCTATGCGTCTGTTTTTCCGTCTGTACGTATGTCCGTGTGCATCTGTGCAATTATAGTACGACAAAAGTAATGACACAGATTAACTACGGCAGGATATAACTCACCTCAATGCATTTTACGCTTAAGGATATTTTATCATTAATTTTAATACCTTCAGTATCCTTAAACGCGACCTCTATTTTCAAAATAAATAACGCCATTCAGTTCAACTAATTTAAAAAGTTGGGTTATTGGACTATAGATGAGACACAGCAGAGTTACAAACCTGGAAGGAATTTTTATTTACTCGCTTCTGCGGTATATCAATATACGATATGTACTGCTGGCGTGTTTGTTTTCGCACACGACTCAAAATATAGTTTGCGATTAAACTTGGATTTCATTCCCATTCTCTATTACTTCATTCACCACGCCGGTTAAGAAAACTTTTGAGCTTCACATGAATTACCAAAATATACATAGGTATATAAGTATTCACGCTACCGATCTCATACATTACTTAAAATGCTCCCTAATTTTTGCAATTAATTCTTAAAGTATGAACTCTTTTGAGTGACGCATGTTTTCTAGATTTTTTAGACAAAATATCAGTTTCTATTGTATGGAAACTATGCTCTGCTGTACATCTATCTATCTAATACATATTTTTCCGAGTATATGCCCCCATGCTCATGTAATGGTGAATGAAGCTCAGAGTCAATGCACAAAATAAAGAGGTGAAATATAAATTAATTGTCATGTTAGAATTTTTGCCAGTGCGGTACGTAGAGGTTCACGTTCAATTTTATTTTATGCAAGTGAGGTCTTCGACTCTTATTATAAATGTAATTAAGCCGTTACATCAGACATCACCACAAAAGTGGAGACACCACTCTGCGTCTGCACTCTGGTGACCGAGGAGCTAATCTCCGTGCATTATCCCGATTTCAGGATGACCTTGCTATCGAGCGTAGTGCGGATTCATCTTATGATTGACCCATCAATGACAAAGCCTTAAGTCGACCATTCCATCAGCTTTTTTTCCGTTTTAAGAATAAACGATTATAATACGTATCTATGTATTACACCAACTCTTACCTTATTCTCCAGCCTCCAGCTTTCGAGACTATACCCTAAAGGTGCAGCAAATGCAGGAATAGCGACTACAGGCTCTTCTACAAAAGATCCGGGAATATCCATTCGGTCCGTCATTCTTAAATGAACGTGTTGACCGCCGATCTTTAAGATCATTCCGTAACCACCTGGGCAGCAACTTTCCAGTCAATTGGCCTTGTACCGACCTGGGTAGCTCTTTTTATGCAAGGGGCATCGTTATCGACACTGCAGTGCCACGCAGTGCTCGGCAAGGTCAGTAATACTTTGACTTGGGAGGTTGGTCAAAGGCTGACGACTCACTTATAATCGCCACTACCCACACCGCAACATTAGTCACTTTACGCTGATTCAGGTGTCTGTGTGGGCATCCCGCTATCCGCCACCCATGGAAGCACCCGACGGGTGCATACCCCACTCTTAATATGAACCATTTTTTTAATAGAACAGTATAGAGGTAGTATAGGCACAGACAACTATGTCTGTGGTATAGGTATGCAGTTTCAACTACAGGATCAATTTTCGTTATGATTTATGGTCATAGGTTGTTCCTACACACCTACACAAAAAAGGCAATAACAAAACATAAATTTGTGTTAGTCTGATTCTAAAAGAGCTAGACATTTGTAAGGGTATGTAGTTTCGAAAGGACAGGTTTTGTCTTTGAACAATGAAATTTAATTCATTGCAACCCATCTGCAAGTTAATTAGGTAAGTTAAGTTCTTTTCATCTGTTATTGATTCAATAAATCATAACGGTAATAATTTGCATAAGTTTTATGATTCAGAGAACTAAATTCCCATCAACCACTAGGGGCGGAATCTAATATTGTAAAGGCGGGTCCACATCAAGCGCGCCATCCGCCCCGTGCCGTGCCAAACGTTTTCGAACGTTCGCGAACAAAATTCGTTATGTTTGGAGAATTGTCTGAACAGAGCAAATGAGCGCACGTTTGGCTATGTTCGGAAAGGTTCCACAAGTTTTGTGCGTTTGTTCAATCGTAAATAGGTGATCATCTCGTCCAAATTGAACGCGCACAAACAACAAATTTCTTTGATGTACCAACAACAAGTGGATAATGTTTGCGAACGTTTGTTTGTGATTGTTGTTGTGCGTTTGTGCGCGGTAACCCGTCCACATTGAAAACGCCACAACGTTCGCAAGCGTTTGGCGCGGATCGGCGCGCTTGATGTGGACCCGCCTTAACTTGTTTAAAATTCAAACTGTTGCAATTATGGTTTGCACTTGCGTTCATTACTTTGTGACCCTTTTTGCGACGCCAATGTTATCAGCTGTTTACATTCGGATATGCTACTGGTTCTAAGAGCTTATTCAAGATATACTTTTGTTTTTTTAAAAAATCCACAGTTTACTAGATATGAGCGAAAAACAGATTTAGTGATTTTTCATTTAACTGTTGTAGAATCGTTAGTATTAGAAATAAAGAAATATGTAAAGGACAAAAATTGTAGATTTTTCCGCTTAATAAGATACATTTATTAATATTTATTCTTCTTTTATAATTTTCGAGTTATAACGCAAACTTACATTTTTTTTAAATGGTACCTAATCATAGTTGGCTGTGACATTTTTAAAAAGTGCATTTTTTTCTGTTTACAATGATATAAGGTTCGTTGTACTTACTTTGACAAATAAACATAACATAATACAGTTTGTATTATTAAGAGTAGTAAAAACAGATTTTGCCATGGGAAACATTTTTGTTCTCTTAATTACCGTCTATTATCACAGATTTAATCTGTGCTATTATAATATTTAACTTGCAGTTAGTTGTGCGGCGGAGCACCGTTGTGTTGAAACAAGCTTAAATTACGTCGTGTTTCCAAATCTAACCCATCCTACATATCTTGAAGTTCATTTAGTAGAAAAGATAACATTGGCCTGTCCAATTTTCGCCGTAAATGAAAAGTACCTATCTCACTAGATATTGTTTTCCATGGCCAACTCTGTGTACTTCCCTCTCAAATAATACGAAAATTATTACAGGGCGTTTATTTATTAAAGTACATTTAGCAAGCCTATATCGTTATAAAGAGAAAAATTTGTCCTTTTTAAAAATGTCAAATCCAACTATGACTACCATTTAAAAAAATTAAAGTTTGTATTATAACTCAAAAATTGTAAGATTTAAAAATAAATTAGTATGTTCATCATCTTAAGCATTAAAATGTCTAAAACTTTTATTCGTGTCATTTTGTTATATTTCTAATAATATCGATTCTACAAGAGTTAAATGAAAAATCACTATTAGATTTTTTTCAAAAAACAAAAGCATATCTTAAATAAGCTCTTAAAACAACAACTCTTTCCTCATTTAACCGAATCCTTATATCTTATGGTTTCCGAGATCCTAATGCTTAAAATGAAAAAAAAAACTCACCCTGTATATCTCTGTCAGGTATGTCAGCACAAATGCTCCTGATAGTGTTACACATTCTCTACAAGTGTTTAAAATGCCTCCTCCGATTGCAAGTGCCGCCAACTGTGAAGAACGCGGTGTGATACGTTTTCTTAATGCTAGGGGCATAAATCACACTTCTTGGCATTTGAGGGAACTCATCAAATAACGATGAATTCGTAAAGCGTCTGTTCTCTCTTTCACTTTTTTTTTAATTTATTGCACCAAGTCATCCGTAACGACCAAAGATCGTCCAGTTTGTTCCTCGTCATGCACCTAATCAGTACCACTATCTTTACCACTATCTGGACATTAGAATCATTACCAATATTTTTTGGTAAATCGACTATTAGCCGAATTCTTTGCTAATTTACAAAAAACAAGTAATTAGATAACCCTGCGGCATCAATTCCGAAATGCATTTTAGAATGTAACGTCCAATAAATATGTATCCCGTGTGCATCTCAAACAACAATTTTGTCACATGAATTGAGAAAATAATGTTTTTCCCATAAAAAGATATGTAGGTACCCAGGTACTTTGACTGTGCACAATGCGTATAAAATCTACTGTGCACATGTGGGTTAATAATGTACTTAAATGGTAAATAGGTTTGTTAGCAGGTTTGGCGGTTCATTTGCAACAAAATTATAATTATATAGTTCAGATCAAAGCTATTTATAACTGTTTCCTAAAGTACATATATATCGATTTCTAGGCATTCAGAACTTCACTACTTCTTCAGTTGGGAATATGACTATGAAAAAGAAACAATCAGATCGAACTTTTTGTTATCTACAGATAGGATATACATACCCATTGACTTATGGTTTTTCAGACAATAGAAGAAAAATTTATCCACAACACATCTAGTGATTGGACTGCCAACATCATAAACATCTGGGTATCCAAAACTTACTCTGTAATCCATTTTCTTCTATTCTTGCAAGAGGACACGCAGCCATGCAATAATAAAGCAAAAGCACTTAGTATTATAGCAGTATTAAAACAAAATTTGGCGTTAAAAACAAAATAAAGTAGCTACTTCTGTGAGTCTGCTTTATTTAGTTAAATCTATAAAGAACACAACTTACAAGCAATATAATTAAAAATGTCATCATGCAAAAAAGTATACAACTACAAATAGACTGAGTATAGGTTATAGATTACCCAAGCAAGTAAAATAATTTAGTGCAACTAGTTACACAAAAGTTTTGTTTGCTTGATTAAAATGTCTGGCTTGATTACCTATATAAAGTATTATCAGCTATAATGTTTACTTACGTCATTTTTGGCTATTTAAATACCGGATACCTATACAAAGTCTATTTATTGTAAAAATTACTACAATTAAATAATATTGCCAAACCTGTCAAATAGGTACACTGGAGAAATTAGTGGTAAAAAGAATTATCAAAAAGGAAGAGACACAAATTTTCAAAATTCGTGCTGGAGGAACTATAACAAATGTCTAGATTAATACATTAAAAATCATGCAACATGCACATCACAATTACACTGCAAAACAGAGTGGAACCAAAGATAGGTACTTAAGGTAAAATATATTCGGGTTAATTATCACTGGGTTTACAAATGGTAAGTTCCATAAATAACATCGAAACAATTATCTATTGAATATATACAAAGTATACATTTAAAAATAACTATATTTATGAAATGAAATATCAAGAGCACTTAAGTTTCGTGTCTTAAAATTTAATTTATACATTGAGCTGTCTTCATTGATAGTAACAATGAAATATATATTAAATACACTGAATTTGGTACAAATGGTAATCATTTCGTTTCATTAAAAAATCACATAATATATACAATATTTAAAATACGATATCCAGGGCGCACATACCCTTTAGTTAATATTTCAATTTGTTCCTTTTCTCTAATAAAAACACAGACACAAGCAATGAAGACAGTGAATGGCGTTTACACATGGTAGTCCGTGTACGGTTAGCACTCTGTCTGGTCTCGTTTCGAAGTTATCAGCTGACCCTCGGAACAATCAGAATCACTGGAGTCATCTTCATTCACAGCCACCACGTTATAATTACATGTCACTTTAGGCTTCTTTATAGATACCCTGCTGTAACCACGTTGAGAATTTTGTACACTATTTCTCTAAAATCAGAAAATCCCAGATTAGCCACAACAATTAAATTTCAAATAAACAAAAATATGTGTAATCAATAGAGGATACAATACATAAATTTAAAAAAAATACATACCTGAAGAATAATAAATATTGTAACAAACAAAACAATGATGCAAAGACAGGCAATGATCGCCAAACCAGTAACAAAATTAAATGGATTTATAAGTTGAACAGTTGGAACAGGTTGCGTTTGTACAAGATAGGCTTCAACATTAATTCTTCGTTTATCTGCTTGGTTTCTACATTCTGAAAAGAAAATTAGTCAGCAAAATACACATTTGTTTTTGGATGTGTCGTTAGAGATAATAGGATTGGACATATCAATTGTAGAGGTTTAAACCAAAATTATGTCTTCAATCTGTAGGTATATTTTAACACAAAAACTCATACTATATTAACTAAATGGGACTAAACCGAAAATAGTAATTAAAAAAAGATCATTATTTCGCTGTACCTACCTACACAATTTCTACACGAGTAATGGCACTTTTGACAACCATACTCTGTCTTATAAAACCCATCTGGGCAATCAGGCCGACATTCCCCACCTGCCAGTTGCCACCCACGTGGACATGAGACACACGAATTATGACCAGGACCACTGCATGTTTCACAGCTAATATAACAACGGGAACATATGCCTCTATCGCTGTAGTATCCTGATGCACAGGTAGCTTGGCATTGGCCCCCTTGTAGCTATAACAAAATCGTGTCAGTAACATAGATTTCTTTATTGAAGTACGGTCTTACTTGTAATCCAGATATGCATTTGGTGCAGTTTGTTTTTGAAGAGCAGTTTAGACAAGTATGAGTGCAAGGCTCACAAGAATGTAAAAATTTGTCATGGAAAGAGCCTTTCTCGCATTCGCCCACGCATCTTGTACTCTGTAATATTAAAGGACTAGCGCATGAAAGACAGGCGTGTTCAGTAGGCCCATCACACGTCTCGCATGTTGAGTGACATTGCTTGCAAATGCCACCATCCATGTATTGATCTGACAACAAAAATTAGTGAGGGGCATTTTGTATAGAAGTGGTTTTACCTGTATCACAGCGTTCACTACCAAGAGCTGCACAGCGACCCTTGCTATTAATCTGCCAATCATCCAGGCAGGAAATGCATGCGGTTTTATTGCATTCTGAACAGCCTGGATGGCACTCGATACATTCCTGTTGATACGTATCTGCGTAATGATGAGCTGGACAGTCTCTCGTGCAACGACCGTCATGCCAATATCGGCCAGCACTACAAGTTATACATTGTGTACTATTAGAACCGGTGCAAGTTTCACATGATTCATGACAAGGGGCACATCTACAAATACAATTAAAACAGTTAAATAAGATTTAGCATGTTCTTTTAACTTGCATGTAGTCTTCAGTTTCGTACGTATGAGAAGGGCATGAAGCTAAACATTGGCTTTGGTGTAGAAGAAGATGACGATCGCAACTTGTGCAATGGTCGGGCCGATCTTGACAGCTGGCACAGTTTGGTTGACATGGGGTACATGTTTTTTCTGCAAAATCTGAAAAACGCGCGTGTCATAAGGAAACACGTCATTGTGATCGAAAACTAAATGGTTACTAATCGTCCAGATATTTAATTAAACACTGTCTGTGGTTTTAACATTTACTGATCTGCTTATTCCTATTTTGTTATTGCGGACTATTGTATAAATAAGCATAGACAATTAAATCAGATAAACTGGACAGATAATGCAGAAAAAATTACGTTCTCTTATAACTCACTTTCATAATATCCTTCAGGACATTGTTGCATACACATATCCAAATCGATAACACGAACATGACCTGGTGAACAAGATAGGCAATGCGATTGACTAGCATCTGTGCAGGTATCACAACTTTCATGGCAAGGTTTACACAAACCTTGGGAATCTGCAAAACTCCTTGGAGGGCAGTTACTTACGCACATTCTGAAAATGATTGATTACTAAAATATCCAATAAGACAATATGTATAAGTACGTACTTGTCCAATCTTTTATTTCTACAAGCTATACATTTATCAGCACCTTTTCCGTAACAACCCTGATCATCGCATTCAGGATCACAGTTTTCCTTAGTTTCTTCATCTAAGTCAATTCTATTATCATTATCCCTAATTTTTGTTTTCTTGCCATCCATTGAACTAATAACTTCTTCCTGATCCGATCCCGAAAATGTGTAAATATTAGGGAAATTATTGAAGCCCCTAAAGAGGTCAGAATTGAAGTAGTCACTGACCGTCACAGGAGTCTCTTGCGTAATTGCATCGGAGTGTGTAGGAAATGTGAAAGTGTTTAACGGAGATTTCCACGATGTAGATGGAGAGCTTGGGGATCGCAATCTGATGGGATTTACGGAAGTTCCATAAAATATTAACTGCCATTTTTTAAGAACTCCCGGTTGATTGACATGCCTATTACCCGCATTAACTATTTGAAGAGTCCAACGCCCTTCGGCTTTTTCTCCCCAAAAATGTACGCTTAAAAACGGCCAATCATCAAAATTCGAATTGACAACATCTCTGGGTCTTTCAAATAACAATGTGGACGTCGTTCCCATAGGAGAAGTTAATAAAATACGGAGATTTCCACGTGGGAAAAATCTTAGAGAGATTTTACATTGTACATGCTCGAGAAAGTGTACTTCATTTAATGTTCCACTGCACCCGTTTACATCCATTTGAGTATTTAGTGAATATCCGTAAGTTGCATCTATAGGCCTATCTTCGATTATTTCTTGAGATTTGCATATATGCTGCGGTGGTACGGTTGTCCATTTTTCTGCTAAACTAACTAATGCGGCCGCGTCCATTAATCCATAACCAAACTTGTGACTAACTCTTCTTTTTACTCCCGTTGTTATCCAACCGGCTTCCTTTTCCAATGGCGCAGATCTAGATGTTAGCACTACAAGATATTGCATATCTCTCCACGTCAGACTAGGATTAGCTTCTAACGCAAGAGCACAAATGCCTGCGGCCAAAGGGGCAGACGCAGATGTTCCGGTATGTTCGACGGTACAAATATGATCAGGACGCAAACGTGCATCCATGTCCACAGTTGCTACACTTTTGTCATGACCCGGAGTTCCTGAACTGTAGGTGGTTGCTAAGGTTGATGAACACTCTTCCAAGTACCATGGTTTATAACTGAAATAAATTTCATTTTTAGGCAGTACTGTTAAATTAAAAATCTGATCTATTAACAGTCAAGTCAGGAAACAGAAAGAACATACCCTCCTTGTGTAGCACTGGAAATGCTTAATGTAAAGATACTGTTGGTATAACCATCACAGTTACAAGAATCAGTATGTCTGCCACCATTGCCGGAAGCCCACACAAATATCGAACCTTTTCCTTTTCTTCCGCTAGTGACACCGTAAATAAACGCTCGTCTTGCTAATGGTCCAGGGCCATCTACAGTTTTTCCATCATCTTCGGGACCCCATGATGCAGAATATATGTCAATGTGATCTGGATTTAAACCTAATGCTCGCGCTTCAACGGCATCATTAACTACTCCATCTAACATTCGAACTCCTGTAATAAAATTAAGTATATATATGAACATTACTAATCTCGAATCTTTTGTAAATTGCAGATTTGTTATTATACTCGGATACATACATTTTTATTCTGTGAAATCTAACAATTTTTTAACAGAATCACGTAGTGTGAGTTGTCCCTATGCTTTATCATCATAAGATAACTATGAGACGTCTAAACAGGGTTTTTAAGATAAAAGGCTAGTCATCTCAAATAATCTGTATAGACTCGACTTAACTTTGCGCCAACACATACAGTGGCCGATTTTGTCGATTAAGACCAATCCTAACATTTATTAAATTTTAGATATACCTAATTAGTTATGATGGTACACAGTAGAAGTCAGCGACGGACCTATAGTGGGGCAAGGGGGGCAAGCTGCCCCTCCAATACTTAACTAGTTGGCAATTTTGACAAGAGTTGGTAATTTTTATTACCAGTTGGTGAATGCCGCGAAAGTAGGTAAATCGTAAATGTAATAAATCGACTATTGAAGCAATGAGGAATTGCGGCAAAATCTATAAAAAAAGGACTCTTTAATAGGAAAGTCACTTCCTTCTTCATCAACACAAGGTTGGTATTTTGGGTAACGCTTTTAATTAGTATTAGAGACCGTATACTGATATCCTACATTTTCTACATGATTTATTAGATTTGAAAATACCACTTAATACTTAATAGATACTTCCCGTTTGAGTTGGAAATTTTTACAGTTGAGTTGGCAAAAAGTCATGTCGGCCCCCCCAATTTTTTTGTCTAGGTCCGTCCCTGGTAGAAGTGAGTCGAAATCATGATATAGGTACAACGAGGTAAGTTTAAACGTAGCAAGTTCTCTCGTTCTCATTGAACACGTTTACATCTGAAACCTTATTGAATCAAACCTTCCCGAGTTACTAATACTTCGAGCTTGGCAGAGAAATATTCGTTGATGAAAACGGGAAAAAGACTCTCAGGTCTCTCAGTTCAGACAATGCGGGGACATCCCGGCTTCATTTTTTATTTCTGATCTACAAAGTTTAACTGCATCTAACGCGAAAGTGAACGACAAGTATGACAACGGCCTGTGACAGGTGACGCAAGTTAAAAATTACATTCTCCTGTAATACTGCCAATTCGTTGTCATCTGATTGGTTCCAGGAGCTGATTGGTCGGGCTTATTACGTCACAGAGCCCGCCACAATCATATCGTTTTGAATAATCCCTGAAAACCGCACCATGTCCATTATTTTTTTGCTAATCAGCCTCTATTTTTACATAAACTTTTACTGTCCAAAAAAATGTTTTATGGTTTCAGGTACACGCTTTAAGTTAGAACTGCGGAATTCAACTATACTGTTAACCCTCATTGCAGTCAACGAAGTTATATAACTACTGGAGCAGCGACACGAAAATGCTGTAAAAATTGAAGAAGAATTTCTCGCAAATATATAATATGTAGTCTTTGAACACTGTCGCCGCTCGGAAAGTACAATAAGTTCGCAGTAGAACTAAAACCTCTACACAGAGAAAGCAAACTGTCAGCATAAAGAATGGCTCTGTGCAAGGTTCAATTCTGTTCCTGAAGGATCTTGGTTCAATAATGAGCTTGAAGAAAAAAGAATAATGCCCTGAGACGTCAGAAAATCCTCATCGAATCCAGCTTTGCTCGGAAACGGTTATTGGGGCCATGTTATAACTGTGAAGGTGGATAAACTAAAATGTTATTGTGATGTAACTGCTTTGGATGAACCCTAGGAGGACGATTGTCGAAGTTAATCAAGTGTATGGCTAACACAAGGACATAGTAACAAAGAAAACAGAACGATTTAATGTGAAGCGTGCCCCCCCCCAAGGACACATTTGAGTGGAAACCCGGCTTTGGTGTAAAGAAAACAAGAAGGATTTCATCTCCCCCATCTTGTTACCAAAAAGTCAACCACTTGTCACAGCTCTAATTCACAACTTCTATCTGTATCATTGACACGGTGGAGTCAACTTCATTCGTGGAAAAATATTTCGAATTTCTATAATAATAATGATGAATAATGATATACAGGGTGTTACACGACCGTTCGAAAAAAAAAATCGGGTTGTAGAGGGCATCAAAACAAGCACTTTTTCCAAATAAACCGAGGGTCCAACGTGTTTCGTTTGGGAGCCACCCCCCAAAGAGTGTTGAAATCTGCATTTCTTCTTTAATTTTTTTCTCAGCAACCATAAGAGTTACAAAGTCGGGTGGCATGTCTTTGAATAGGTTTTTGGGTATGCTCTTTCCGATTTTGCAATTTTTTTTTCAAAATTCCTACCCCTAAAGGGCGCACCCCTAAACTAGGGTGCAAAAAAATTCTGATTTCGACGAAATTTGGTATCTGGGGTTTTTTAACATGAAAATCACGAATCTGAAATTAGTTTTTGAAAATTCGAAAAAAAAAGTTCCACTGCAATTCTTGGCGGGACAACGAAAATAGAGATAATTCCACGAAATTTGTTGTGTACATACTAAACGAGTTAAGGAACAAAACTGTCGAACAGTTTTTTAAAATAACTTTTCAAACAAAAGTTATACTCATTTGAATGTTGGTCCTTCGGGTCGCGAAGTGTCCCAAGCCTACTAGTAAGCCATAATTTCGCATGTGTTGGTTGACAATGTCGCAAAAACAAAAGATTAACGGTTTGAGTCGATATTTTGTTATTTGGAATTAATTCGGTCATTAAATGATTAAAAAATTCGATGTATCGATTAAAACACCTACCAAGGTATCTTAAAGCGCTGATTTGTCCTTAAAAGGAGCGTGTTCTTTTGGAAGTTATTTTTCAACCTAAGATTATGAAAATTTTTGATCATAGTGAAAAAGTATCATAGCATACGGAAAGTGATTTGACTTTTTCCCCTACCTTATTTAGATAATAAATAATCGATCAGCGCTTTAAGATACCTTGGTAGGTGTTTTAATCGATACATCGAATTTTTTAATCATTTAATGACCGAATTAATTCCAAATAACAAAATATCGACTCAAACCGTTAATCTTTTGTTTTTGCGACATTGTCAACCAACACATGCGAAATTATGGCTTACTAGTAGGCTTGGGACACTTCGCGACCCGAAGGACCAACATTCATTCAAATGAGTATAACTTTTGTTTGAAAAGTTATTTTAAAAAACTGTTCGACAGTTTTGTTCCTTAACTCGTTTAGTATGTACACAACAAATTTCGTAGAATTATCTCTATTTTCGTTGTCCCGCCAAGAATTGCAGTGGAACTTTTTTTTTCGAATTTTCAAAAACTAATTTCAGATTCGTGATTTTCATGTTAAAAAAAACCCAGATACCAAATTTCGTCGAAATCAGAATTTTTTTTTGCACCCTAGTTTAGGGGTGCGCCCTTTAGGGGTAGGAATTTTGAAAAAAAAATTGCAAAATCGGAAAGAGCATACCCAAAAACCTTTCAAAGACATGCCACCCGACTTTGTAACTCTTATGGTTGCTGAGAAAAAAATTAAAGAAGAAATGCAGATTTCAACACTCTTTGGGGGGTGGCTCCCAAATGAAACACGTTGGACCCTCGGTTTATTTGGAAAAAGTGCTTGTTTTGATGCCCTCTACAACCCGATTTTTTTTTCGAACGGTCGTGTAACACCCTGTATATAATGATGCAATGTAATTTCCCTATGTTCGATTATTAAAAAAAACGCATCAATCTATTGAGTAGTTCAAGTGAGTAGTAGATAAAATTGACAGCTGTTTAGGCATTGAGTTAGAAAACTAATCTAACTCTATGTGTTTAGGAGAGTTCAGAATTTCAATGATGTATTGAATAGATCAAATTACTAAAATACCAGATGCACATAATCTACAAATAATTGAAGGTTGGTTCACAATGAATTGTGTGACTCAGTGACACTGTGGGTGGGAGCTTGTGTAGCAGAGGAATATGTCGAGCAATCGAATTACCAACCACATTAATTCTATGGAAGCAATCTACAAAGAAAAAAATAGAAGTGGCAGACTTACTTTCCGTTAGGCAACCTGACAATTCTCAACCAGCACCATCCTCAAAACCATTTAGGTCCGGTTGTATAATGTCAGTTTAAACTTCACTGAATAGTTGAATTGTGGGTTAAAGGATTTGATTGGCTAATATTTCACAAGTTGGCCAATCGTATTTCTGAAATCCGTCAGTTAAAACAACCTGAAGTTTAACCTGACATTGTACAACTGGGCCTTAATGTTAATACCGCCAGTGTTATAAATTTTCTTCAAAATGTAATCGGAAATTTGTAAACTGCTGTAACTACGGTATCTGTACAAATTTATAATAAAGGTTAGGTTAGATTTATTAAATAAAGTTTCGCCAGATGGCAATTCCATGTGGTACAGTAAAAGAGGCGAATTCATTATAAATACTATCGAATACGATATATCAAAAATTCTTAGTGCTGTGTTTGTGATAATTAATAGTTCTGTTTCAAAACGTTATCAGTGTTCCGTTACAAATATTGTTTATTCATTTAATAAACATTGTTAATCTGGCAATGGACATACCTCCTTGCAGTACTGTTTTGTGGGATCAATTAGGCATACCAACCCATGACTAAAAATTCCTCCAAAAATCGTGAAAAAATGAAAAAGTTATTAAAAATAAGGCTGTAATGAAAGGGCTGCTACAGACGGACCTTTAAGTGCGCGTTTATGTACGTGCATACAAAAACGCCGAAAGCGCATATAAAAACGTGAATGTGTATGCACAAAAACGGGTAATCATTTTGTATGACGATGAGCGTCGACGACAGAAAGTTTGTGAGTGCATACAAAAAGTTTCAACGTGTGGATGCAAATTGTGCGTCGGACATCAGTAGCGTCGTAGATGATCAGATAAGCTGCAGTGTTTTTATTCGTTATACATATTAATTTCAATTTACTTGAATGTCCTTCGCGTGTTATAATTGTCTGAGATTGTAGAACACTGTCCCGTGAATGCCTGCGGGAATTTATTGAATTATTTTGTTCATTTTTGTTTGGAGCACAGAAGTGCACGCCACTGCTACCAATACCAAATCAACTAATTCATTTGAAATCACTCAAAATACTGCGAAATAGTGAGTACGTCTGGAGGCAGTGGTATAGTGTACGTTTTTGTATGCACGTACATCAACGCGTACAAAAAAGACCGTCTGTTGGGGCCTAAACTCATTCCAGTATTAAAATCTTCCCTAGAAGAACGACATTCTATATGTGAAAAATAGAAAAATGTATCCTAAAGTTGCTATAACATGGATTCACATGGCTTTCTTTAAAAAAAAATCTTACCGAGTGCAGCTATTTATCATTAAAACTAAAAACCTTTGCTGTTCATAATCACGCAAGTTGCGCGTTTTGCTGGTGCGAATGGGAACCGCGCACACCTCAGACTGATGGGTTTTTTTTAAATCGAACATAGGGAAATTACATTGCATACAAGATCGTATGTTTCCATTAAAAAAAACTCACTGTGTATACCGCTTTATAGCAAACAGGAACAAAATTACGTTTGGAAATAAAAGGCGATATCAACTCGTGTATTTTCAATAAAAGATGTGTAATTTGAGATAAATGTGTGCGGGAATTTTGGCCAGGTAGACGAGGTTGAACATTAGAGTAAGCACATAGAAAAAGGTGGTTATTCCGCGTATTGGCGAAAATTTACATTAAATTTTACATTAAAATGGAAGTTAGCCTAATTTATAGCAAGGAAGCAAGGTTATCCATTTACAAGTGTTAAAATTTACGCGAGGAAACATTTTCGCATTGACGACGTGTTCTTAACATAGAAATGATATTGAGTGCCCTGAATTTAAAAAAAACTCGTGATAAACAAAGATATTCCTTCGTTCGCATCGGCAACGGCCAGATAAAAGCTGTTTATCAAATGAATTAAAATTATATAATGTTGAATAATAAATTTATTATAGGTTCCTTATAGGCTATCGATTTCGACGCGCGTCATCAAATCAATAGCCTATAAGGAACTAACAATAAATTTGTGAGTTAACATTACACAATTTTAATTCATACGTAACATCACTCACACATCATAAAACTGTTTCTCAAAGTTGCGTAAAACATTTGTGCAGTACTTTTTGTGGTAAATAACTTTTTGTACACAAAATCCCTGGGCTGGAAACATAAAGACAATTAGTTGGTGCATTTACTCATCTCGTATAAAGCTTAATTAATTGTAATAATGTAATGTCAACACAGCGGACTTTCGCGTTTTATTTCACGAAATTGGAAATGGTTTGTTGGAGTGGACGGACATTTTTACTTTGCATTCACCACAAGTCAACGATACCATTGCAGTGGTCTACTCCCATATTTTAGCATTGGAAATGCTTATGTTTTGTTTTGTATGGGTATGAATTTACCAGGTTTGCCGAGTAGAAAAAAAGACAATGGTGTCGGGTCTAGTGTTGATTGTACCGTACTCGACTGCAATCGGTAGATTCAGGAAAAGTCGCGGATACTGTCGATACGGTACTTACTTAAGAGTCTTCTGTACCCACTGCACGCAATGTAAATTTCCATAAGAGCGCCCGCCATAAAAAGTCAAGTTGTTTTTCAAAAAAAAATTTTTTTAACTATTTTATAAATTTGGACCTTTATCTACAAAACGTTCGAACTATTTTTTTAAAAAAGTGTATAGCAACTGAATTCCGATTGTTTAAAGATTAGATGTTTTGCACCGATTATTGCGCTAATCTGTTTTATTTTTTTATTTTTGATCAAGACGATTTATGGAAAAAGTAAACCGACAGTTTTCTAGATAAGTTACTTCTAAACAATCTCTCAAAAAATCAAATCATATTTGTTGTAAATAAAGTCTGTATCCTGGCGGACGGTAAATCAACAATTTGAGTGTAGCAAGTGGTGCCGTGCCAATGCACAGTGTCGGCAGGAACTAACTAAGGACCAAGGCAGGAGTTGACAAAGCAAGAATATCATCTTGTCTCTTGCAACTATAATCATCGATGCACTATAATGTAAAAAAAGTTGCGCTGAGGTAAAGAAGACTCTTAACAGTGCGCAGGGGTTTCGAATTGAAAATTCTCGCACATCGCCCGCGATAGTATTACAAGCATGTTACGCCGTTTATTATTCAGAAAGTTTACGTTTCCGACACGAGCGAGCTTGCGAGCGAGTGGAGCAAGATTATTCCGTGTGAAGGGTTATTTATGACTTTATAGGTTATACGGTTATCATTTCCAATGTCTCCGATGATGTCAAGGATTGCGAAATCTGTGAATTTTTTTAAAGTTAACACGGTATTCCCTATGGGTTGGAAACCTAGCATTTGCCCATATATGTTTATAAGTACCTAGGTACACAACAGGATACAGAACACGATTGCCTTGTTTATATATTTACCGGGCCATGAAAACAACTGTATTTAAGTTTCTGTCTAAAAATAGCGTTTAGATAAATTTAGGTAGCATAATGATCATGTTACTTGGAGAGAAGCACTTCCGAAAAGAACTGGATTGGAGTTCATATTTCATTTCACAAATTCAGAGAACACTGAAAGATGAGATGCTACTACTATTGCTCGCAGCTTCATAAATAAAGAAGGTATGGCATATTTTATAGACACACAGTTCCTTTAAAGTTCATAAACAAAATGAAAACTTTAGATGTGGTTTCCTATTTCCATACAAAACGAACTAAAATTTATATCTAGACTGCATAATAATTCTGATTCATAAGTAAAACAAAGCAAATGTGTTACAGTGAAGTTTCAAAACAAGTTCGTATTCAAACTTTGTTCTTATAAACATTATTCTTTGCAGCATTATCAAATTCGCGTCCCTTTTAAAAACTTGCGCACCTCCATAATTTATATTAAAAAATAGAATTGTATCTCTTTGGAGAAATAAAAATTTTTACATCGTACTAGCAAGCATTACGCCACATTTTCAAGAGATAATTGCACCTTTGGGACTACTTTGATAAAATTAATTCGGATATGCCTACCTTACATTCTACCTTGTTAGTTTTTATACGTTTATGTCTTTACTCTCAACTTCTTTTAATAACTGAGACTTGCTTAGGGGAAAATATCAAATTTAGGGCACACTATCAAGTATCTGCGAAAAAAATTAAGCAAAAATGCGTACCTCCGATACTCGCGTTATAGGCAACTCCAATTCCACAAAATTGGTTATAAGCAACAGCGGCAACCTCTCCAGCACACCGGGTTCCATGCTTATTATCTCCATTATCCTGCGGCGTAGGATCATTATCATTTCCATTAATATCGCTGCTCGCTTGAGGATCCTGTAATGATAATATAAACCTCAAAACTACAGTTAAAACAATAATTGGTCAAAACCAGCTTTTTCGTTAATACGCACTGTTCGTGCCATGAAAAGAAATTAATGCTAAAATCCCAATTTCCTTTTACAAGGTAGAATAATGGATAAAACGGATACACGGTAAGATAATTATATTTATGCGTTACAGAAAAGCATTCGCACCTCTGTTTTATACACAATTATATAAGTAGGTAATTAGGTACCAAACTGAAGGAGCATTAAATCCTGGAGCAATCAAGTTTCTCTTGAAACTTTCTGAATATAATTCTGAACATAATACCTTAAATTCGTAATCCGTCGTTCTCAAAACGAGATTTGTGGCGATCTCATTTATTACACATTTTTAACCATCACCAACACCTTACACCTATTCTCGTTAACAAAAGCGATATGTCAACGGAAACGATTGAGTAAAGTACGTACCCTTGTGAACTTTAAGACGCGTATAGATGCTCTGTAGTCTGTACTAATCTTTTACAAGACTGGGGTGTAAAACATACCAATATTTCTCTAAGTTTTACGATTAATTCTTAAGTTCTTTTCTTCCTGTCCTCCGGGCAGTTGAAGTCTAGATAAAAGTGATATATACTGTCTCTATTTCACAAGCCTAGGAGTAGGAATACTGAAATTAGTTCCGGTTTGTCGACAAATGAGTTAATGCATCGAACGCAGTCTTTTCTCCACGATTGTACCGGTTGTTCAAATAAAAATAGCAGGCGATTATATACCAGAAAGTATCTAATCTGGATTGCCGGGGTTACTGCAAACGTCCACCAAACTCACAGATTCTTTCGATTTATCCATTTATTTATCTGTTTATCTATTTATCTATTTATCTATTCCAACGCGAAAGAAATCAAAGATTAAGCCTTGTTTCGTCCCCATGGAATACGTGTTTTTTCTTTACCCTACATTCAAATGGACCATAATTTACAATAAAAGTCTCAATCATAACGCTGTACGAGGGAAGTTCAAGATCCATATCGATTCGATCACTCGGAGCGCGTCGATATTAATTACTGTGGGTATTTCGACAATTACTCAAGTGATGTATTTCTTTTGTCTTTCGTTTATTGCATCCATCCCGTAATTATATGATTGTGTTAGATTATTTGCCAAATGCATTCTACTAGAGGTTCTGATTCTACAGATGCATTCGGTGAATGCCAGTGCAGCATGGGTATTGTCATTTACAGACACTTTATTACAAAATACAGAATGCTCTTGTATAATTATGCTAATCATACTTAATTAAGTGCACAGGAATACGGCAAGATTGCATTGTGTGTTTCTACGTACCTACTTAAATATGTTTGTTTTCCAATTTACAGTGTCGCTGTTGTTAGACAAGTGGCCCATTGTTCGTAACACTTGTTTTCATCCCAACCCTCATTGCATTTCTTTTGCACTTTGCAGGTCAAAATGTGACTGTTTATTTACAGGGCGGTTCATCTGGGAGCTGGTTGTCTACGTTAGGCCAAGGTTGTTACACATATTGCACTTGGCATTAGGACTAATATTTGGCCACGACATGCTTAATTGTTTTGTTGTAATGTGATAATTAATGTTACGCTCCTAATATTTATTTGGACCGGGTGATTATGATTATTAATTGATATTTGGCCGGCTGACTTGTTTCGAATATGTAAATTGTGCTATATTTGGCTTCCTTATTTAATCTCGACTTGACGTTGCAGGTAAAAGTGGCAAAGTCCCACCTGCCATACGCAGAGATATCATTGTGTCCAAGATAAGGATGTTTATCATGGAGATCTCGAGATTCCCATTACCTCCGAAGATATACCAGAAAAACCGAAATTTGCCGCTTTCGTTATTATTTTTTTAAAATTTATTTGAACAGATACTAACAAATTAAAACACTTTCTCATTGGCACATGCCACTTTTTGAGCGTTGAGAGATACTGTGTTGAGTAGCCATTTTGGTTTTGGTTTCCACAATATGGTCCACCCACGCACAACGCCAGGAGTGCGAAACGGCCAATCAGTGTAAGTATCCTGTACCTCGTGCTTGGGCTGTTTGAGCCCACCGCATTGGAAGACTCCTGCTCATTGAGTTAGAAAACTAATGGAGGGAACATAATGGTAGATGGGGTAAGAATTTTTGTAGACGGAAGTTGCCACAGATAGAGGCCACTCGCGTGGATAGGTTCCCGTGAAGGTACATTTTGACCGACATTATTTGACATATGAAAACGCGGGTCCTGTCACTGTCAGTTTTCCACCACATTCAAATTTTATTAAATTTGCCATTTTAAAGTATACCTAATAATTTCGGATCGGTTTGTGCTCTGGTTTATATAAATAACTAACTGCCGCATAGTGTTTTTATCACACGCAATTTTGTGAATTGAGAATGATTAGCTGCGTATCATTCAAAATTTCTCATAAAGGGAAGGAACAGGGCATTTCCTTTCATCGGTAAGACATGTCATTTATCATGTTGTAGGCGAGGTTGTAGGTACCTAGTTTATGTTTCTTAGTTTTCCAAACGAACCGGTACTTCGAGCAAAATGGTTACCTAACATTTGTAAATATAATCTCAAGAACAGCTCTCGAAATTTGCTTTTGTGCTCACAACGCTTCATTGACTGTGATTTCGACCAAAGGTTGCACCGGAAAATGTTCATCAAATATGCAGTAGGTACTATCAAAACTTGTTTTTGCAGCTAAACGTGTGAGTTTATAATATGGATATCAGGTGTAAGTTTTTTTACGAGTGCGGATACATTTTGAGACCAATAAACAATAAATTATTATTGACTCTCGCTGCCGTTGTAATGAACCTGAGACCAACCAGTCAATTGTAGAGCTATTGATCAACACAGTGAATTTAATGGGAGTTGTCAAGTTGTAGTGGCTATAGTAAACTGGCCTTAATTATGGAACACATCGATGTGTATTTAGATTTGTAATCAATGATTATATTAAATCTGCATACTTTCCCATGCTTGTCTATTTTGTTTACTTTACCACGAGCATGTGTTTTACTCCTTCTATACGATTTTTTTGTTATTATTCCTATTAGTGGAAAGAAAATTATACCTCTACGCCACTGAAGTGAGACGCTAATGATAACGGAAGTGGTGTGGTACTTTAATCACAGCTAGAGGCCACTTTTGGTTCCCGTGGTCTACGTCTGGCCAAGCATTTGATTCCCTCCATTAGTTTTCTAACTCAATGCTCCTGCTGCCCTCATTCATTGTGACTTGTGGGTTTCTACACGGGAGGAGGTCTTTTACCTAGATATACAGGATGTCTGTATGAAGGAGAGCCACGGTCATTGAGTTGGAAAACTAATGGAGGGAATCAAATGCTTGGCCAGACGTAGACCACGGGAACCAAAAGTGGCCTCTAGCTGTGATTAAAGTACCACGCCACTTCCGTTATCATTAGCGTCTCACTTCAGTGGCGTAGAGATATAATTTTCTTTCCACTAATAGGAATAATAACAAAAAAAATGTATAGAAGGAGTAAAATACACGCTCGTGGTAGTAAACAAAATAGACAAGGATGGGAAAGTATGCAGATTTAATATAATCATTGATTACAAATCTAAATATACATCGATGTGTTCCAGTAGTATAATTAAGGCCAGTTTACTATAACCACTACAACTTGACAACTCCCATTAAATTCACTGTGTTGATCAATAGCTACAATTGACTGGTTGGTCTCAGGTTCATTACAACGGCAGAGATTCAATAAAAATTTATTGTTTATTGGTCTCAAAATGTATCCGCACTCGTAAAAAAACTTACACCTGATATCCATATTATAAACTCACACGTTTAGCTGCAAAAACAAGTACCTATAGTACCTACTGCATATTTGATGAACATTTTCCGCCTTTCCGGTGCAACCTTTGGTCGAAATCACAGTCAATGAAGCGTTGTGAGCACAAAAGCAAATTTCGAGAGCTGTTCTTGTTCTTATTTACAAATGTTAGGTAACCATTTTGCTCGAAGTAGTGGTTCGTTTGGAAAACTAAGAAACATAAACTGGGTACCTACAACCTCGCCTACACCATGATAAATGACATGCGGCAGTTAGTTATTTATATAAACCAGAGCACAAACCGATCCGAAATTATTAGGTACTATAAAATTGCAAATTTAATAAAATTTGAATTTGGTGGAAAACTGACAGTGACAGGACCCGCGTTTTCATATGTCAAATAATGTCGGCCAAAATGTACCTTCACGGGAACCTATCCACGCGAGTGGCCTCTATCTGTGGCAACTTCCGTCTACAAAAATTCTTACCCTCTCTACCATTATATTCCCTCCATTAGTTTTCTATCTCAATGGCCACGGTACTTTATTGCGCATGAGGGTTACGTATTCCAGGCCGCGGCGGGCACCACAAGAAGTTACGTTTTCAGTGTGAGTACTTCCGGGAGAAAGAGGGCCCGTCATTGCCAGCTGGCGTGATAAGACTCTTGCAGTTCCACGCATGCGGGTAGGGATTGCTCAGGGAGATACGTAGCCGGGTGACACAATGGGGTTCTGTTCTAGTAGACTGTATTAGTGTGACGTCAAATTTGAGCGGGAAATTCGATTTGCAGGACTTGGCTGTTTTACTGTCGAAGATTGACCCGTATCGCCCATGCATTAATCACTTTTAAATAGGTCCTCTTTACGGGCTTATACTGACCTTATGCGCATTATATAAGCATATCGACCCTCTTATATCGAAACAGTGATTACTTAACTTTAAAACAGAGCAATAAGCGTTAAATAAAATCCATTAATTGCCTTATAATTAAAAATTAAAAATATGTCTACTATATTTACACTTTACGGTTGGCAGTACGGAATTATCATAACCTATCTTATTCCGTATGCATTATATGTTTACATTTTCTAATGTACTTAAACATAAAATAATAACACCTAGGACTATTGAAAACTACCTACTTAAAACAAATTTTAAAAAACACACTTTAAAGGCAAGTAAACGACCAAGTTTAGCAAGTGGGAAAATGTAAACACAAAAACAGATAATTCCATACTACGAGTACCAACCGTAAAATGTAAATATGGTAGACATATCTAATTTTTAATTATAACGCATTTAATGGATTTTATTGCTCTGTTTTAAACATAAGTAAACAGTGTTTCGATATATAGGAACCGATGTGCTTATTTAATTCACATAAGGTCAATATAATCCCATAAAGAACACCTATTTAAAAGTTATCCTTAATGGATAATGCGATAGGGGTCAATATTTCCGACAGTAAAACAGCCAAGTTCTGCAATTCGAATTTCGCGGGTTATTATGACGTAACCACTAATATACTCAACGCAGCTTCTAAGTGTAGCATGTTTGTTGCTGAGTAACAGGATTAGAGTACGTACACGTACACGATACACTCACACAGTTGTACGTTAACGTGCAAGACATAGGTGCTCCTTGTATTTCTTGTAGTGGTCCAGGCCGAGATCAGCCATGGAGATCAGGCACTGTTACAGGCATCGACGATCTTGACAATTTGAGATGAGTGAGATTAATGGTTATGACTGTTTGATTCAATAATTACATCGCTCTGCCCCTCATATATGAAAGAATTGATTGATGTTAAGTATATGATGACTTCGATGCATATAAAGAGATGTCACCTTTCTGTAAGTGTACTGTCTTTGCCTGCGAAAATATTGACGTGTAAAATGTTAGTTATCGTGTATTTAGGACCATCGTCTACATTCGTTAGGCCAAAGAATAGAATATGCAGTTTTGGTAATCAGAATTTTCCATTCGTATTAAGCTTATCGAACGCCCAATTGAGAACATATTCGTTTTGTTTGAAAAAGCAATTGCTCTACATCTCCTTTAGAGAAATTAATTACAGCTTCTACTTTTAATTGGGAATTGGGACTTTTTACTCAATTTGGATTTCCGACTTTAAATTAGTAATATAGACATATAGGTACAGGTTATAGCTAAAGCTTTCGCAACTTTAATTTAAAAAAACTTTTTACAAAAATGCGTGTATTATTAGTACCTATACCTATTACGTACTAACATTGAAAAATAATTGCGGGAATTTTTGTTTCAAAATTGTGTAAATTAAATGAACAAGACTATGTATATAAATATAGATGTTCCAACATAAATATAGAATGAGCTTAAAATTATGTACCTAAGCTAATTATAATAGTCTTACCTTTGAATATAATAATTTTATATTCAAAGGTCTTACCAATTTTGACAAAGATCACATTTCACAACTTTAAAAGTTTTATAGCTTTTAATTATGCTTAAAAGAAAATTTCTTGGAAGAAAATCAATTACCTACAAGCTATAAAACGAGAACTTATTGCATAGCTGCGTTAATGTGCGTCAGTAGTTTAAATGGGACGAGGAATCATATTTTCGTTACCTTTGTGATAAATTACATATATAGAGAAAGAAAGAGTTCATAGTAGAGCAAAATTATTACATATCATTTTATACTCTTTAAAACTTCATAGCTTTTGCACATGATATGTCTTTATCGTCATTCTCTTCTAAAAAGTATTTGATTAGACGTAATATTTGAAAGGTAATAAATTTTGCTCACGATAGCTTCAATCACAATTCCCATTTATTGTTTTATGTTACCAAACAAAACTGAATAGACATTGTATGAAAATGCGAATATAACTTTTTATGTCTTACTAACACATAGCACATTTTATATCTGTGATACACGGGCATAAAGTAGCACTTTGTGCCCTAGAGCATTAAGTACCACTACAGTAACTTATTTACACTTAATGACAAAACAAACAAATATTTGCAGGTCATTGAAAATTAGAAACGTCAAGATTGGCCTTATTTCGAATAGTTTCTGGAACTCGTCCCTTATTCATGTTGAATTGAATTATTTAAAATTAAGTTTGACGTTTGAATGGTTTCAATCACATTAACAAATTCGAACCATCAACCACGCATACTTGAACAAACATAATGAATAATTGTTTTGTAAACGAATATTTACTTTGACGAAAAAACTATTTGTAAGACATAAAATTTTGTATGTACCAAAGGCATAAACTGATGTTTATTTTCTCGTCTAATTGCTAGGCAACAGATGTTCATTACCTAAACAACCCGAATTACTCGGTAAAATACAAACCTCTTGTGTAATTATAAGTGACAATAAATTGAATTTTGGTTCGGTCGTTAAATATTGGCCTAATTCAGCAAAGCTGTACTTCCTAGCTTTCGTGGCTGGCTGAGAAATTTATGTTGAAGTTAGGTGGCGCCCTGAAGACTATTAAGAACGCAGAGTAAGTAGGTATCTGTAGCAACCTTCAAGTTTGGATTGAGTCCCGTGAACCACTGATGATTGTTTTTAAAACCTCGCCCTCACCCTAAATAAGAGCGTATCTCCCTCCGCTATTATGTCAATAGGGCTAGCTGGCCGGTTAGAGGCGTGTGTTCCGCACAAGGCATAGTTATAGCGGCCTTCTTTTTCCTCAGCGTCCGCGTTATAATATACTACGAGTATATAAACCTATACACATCATAATGTGGTTCAAAGCTCCTTGTTTCAAATAAGTACATTTTAGACGGTACGATTTCATTCAACAATCACGGGCCACGGCATGGCCTAGACGGTATACCTAACAAAATATACCCTCAGATCGTAATTGTATCCAGGAAAGAATAATTATGGAATGCACGAACAGTCCACATATAATCGAAATTACCTTTTAAAATTGACTCACAAAATGTAACAAATACTTACATAATTCTGGGCGAGATCAGGATGATTTGTTTGTATCCCGTCATCAAGAATCGAAACCACGACTCCTTTACCCGTATAGCCTTTCGCCCAAACAGATCCAACATTCATATCCAAGCCATCTTTAGCGCCGCCATTCTGTAAAAAAATAATAATCGTGAATTAGGGAAACAATAATTACATATCTACATAATAGAGCACGATACAATGTCGCCAAATTGTGTACAGTTTAAGACTGAAACAATTTACTCTTCGTCTCACCACAGAATATTTTGCCCAAAATTTTATACTTTTTAATCCCCGGAATAAAATATTTTGAGGGCCCTCTCACCTAATCTGTGTGTAGTAGGTACGTAGCGATCGTATTCTAATTAATTGAGCTGAATGAATGAATTATTTGAAAATGTCAACTTCGTTCAATATTCAGTGCTTCGCAAGAAGAAGAACGAAAAATGTGCTAAAAAAGTAATGAACCCATAGAGAGCGTCTAAAAAAGCGACAGACAGCATTGGATTTGATCGATTTTCAATAGACTTTACATGTGGCATATAGGTCAGTTATCGTGTTCACGGACAGACGGACACCATCGACTCCCCTATAAAATTTGCATCGCGTTGCTCTGCCGCTTAATAATGAGAAATTTCGTTGCACCATGTAGAGAATTTTTTTCAATTAATTAAGAGAATTACTATACGTTTCAATCTATTTAACTTAAAATAACAAGAACCAAATGTGCTATACATTTAAAGCAACGAATATTATTTGAAATATTACTTATGCCTTATATAACAGATATTCCAAATGGTTGGATGTATTTTTGAGACGAATAGTTCGATGTTTATCACTATGCTTTGAAGAAATACCTACATTAGTAGGTACGTTGGAAAAATTAACGTTGCAATAACAGTGAGTAAATTTATCAGAAAACAAAGGTTCGCGCTTGCTGATAATCATTAATTACAGTTGAACAACGTACAGAATCTGTCTGCATAGAATATAGTAAATTAAAATCAACTACTTGCCCATGCAAATTTCTGAAAGGAAGATTGATTGGAGACTTAATGAAATAAAGCGAAACTAATTTACGGGTGATGAACTACGCTTTACGGGATAATGTAACAGTTTTTAATTAATTCAAACATTGATTGAGCATATCATGGAGTTCTGTTTATTGTCATGAATAATTCTAGTCCCCTTATACACAAGATAAGATATTTCTTACAGCTCAACGGAATACCGTGATGTCAAGAAAAGCGAACAGCAAAGGATAACTTAATAATTTAATAATAAATTATGCCCCAAAAGTGTATTTAAACCGTGCCAGTGTCTTTTATATTAAGTTCCATTAGTAAAATATTGTAACGTAACGAGGTTTTACTTATTACAACTAAATAACAATAAATTTAAATGGATTAATTTATAACAGTAATCATTATTTATAACATAACACAAGCGCGTCGAAGTTGGAACTAAACTGAAACGCAATTCGATTTCCTTATATAGTAAACCCGAGTGTTTGCGAGCCTGTTCGAATGTTCTAGAACAAATCACGTCATATTTCCGGGAAAGATTACGTCACATCCGTTTGCCTTCGTTCTTTATTGCCGATGACTAATCTTTCACGGCGTCTTGAAGTCTATCGAGAATTCTGGAATGTTCGCTACAATATTATTAATTAAATTTTGTCAATTTGAACCAGCAACTGGCTCCTCATATCGTTCTGTTGCTTGTAACTCATTGGTCACTATACGTATCCGTAATTTTGATCTCTAATCCTTGTTTGCGAAATATGTGTATTTTGCGATAAAATGTTAGCATTCTGTACTTCGTATCCAGACACCCAAAATAAAATGAAAACTAAAAAGTATGTGAAGTCGACTCTTAAACTACACTAGAGGGCATCCAGATCCAGATCGTTGGGTAATTGTGTCAAAAGTTTAAAATGTAGGATTTGGTTATGCCCGGTCACTCCATCAGATAAATTCAAGAAAAATTGTAAATACTAACAAGTAAAAAGGCAAGTGGATGCAATAGCGCACCCACCTTTATTGAAAAATGCACTAAAAATACATTTCCACAAGAAGAAAGTTGACACTTGACATTGCGCCCTTTGCGCATGCATGGCACTTGAATTCTTGCTAAATGTGAGGTTTTTCTTTATTAAAAAGATTTATTGTTACCATTGCAAAGAATATCTTCATAACTAGGAAGGGCGGCACTGCGCAGACTGCATAATATGCGCACATCTAATGTTTGCAGTATGAGATATTTGTCTTTAGTAGAAGCATCTGTGATTAAAATGTCATAATGTCGATAAATAAAAAAGTTGGCATACGCGATATGTTAGCTTTTACTAATAAAATCTGTAATTAAAATTGTAAATAGTATATTAAGATACAAGTGTATAATCAAGCCTTTAAAGCACGCGCAACGAGTTTAAAGGCACGACGCAAAGCGGAGTGCCTTTAACGATGCAAGTGCTTTAAAGACCAATTATACACGTGTATCTTATAGTATTTTTTATTATACCTGCAGTATAATTTAAAAATAGGAAATTCAATGAAATCATATTGACGTTATACTCGAATACATGTCTAATTAAGTGGGCTGGGTGTTCGTAATTTCACGATTGCCATGGAAATGTCACTTGACGTTTGCTTATAAAAATCGTCGTCTTTGTGAATAAAACGATTTCCGTTGAAAAAGATAATACACCGTCCATTAAATCGCTTGTTGTAAAATCTAAACAAACGTTGGTAGGTGTAAAATCTCAATCCAGTAAAGCCTATTATCAAGCATATGAAAAGCTGTTTCCATGGATGAATAGGAAGTTACTTACGAATAAAGTCTTAAATGCATCGATAATGCTGGCATATATGAAGGAAATGTCAAAGGTATTTAAATATTCTATCCTTTGGTGCTTTCATTCAAAACTTCACTTATTGCTGGGACTAAAAAGTGGAACAGATTTGGAAGCATAACCTAAATTACGCGCGTTTGTAAAAGCTTCAACCAAAGGATAGGTACAAGCCAAAGAAATGTTCTGCATTTACAGAAAGCGACCTAAGAGGATTTTTTATTTCAGCCTCAGATGACAGTTTCAAAAGTCATACTTGAAGTATCGTTACTTAGCAACTTTAAAGCACGTGTGTTTTAAAGGCTCTTTTTCGCACGCATTTGAGTGTTTAAAACGGAGATTGTGATTCAGGTATAATAAAAAAATATATCTTGATATTGAGCAGCTTGCGTATGGCACATTTGATTTTTACTATATGCGCTATGTGTTTTTTATTATAAGCATCTATATGACAGACATTTTACTTAGTTTCGGCACATGCAGTAATGATGGATGATGGGTAATCCTGTATGTCTAATTTGTTTATATTATTGTAAAGTTATTTTGTGTTGTTAAGATAAAAGACAATCGAGAAATTATTTGCGTAGTATTTGTAAAAGTTTATCTCATGTTTTTCTCCAGTCGTAGAAAAGAAGTTTTATTATCGCTACGTATACGCTAATTAAATTTCAAGATAAGGACATGTTATCGCTGAAGCTTAACACAGGTACAGTTTGATTTCTCGAAGACGCGCATTATTTTTTAAAGGAAAGAGGAAGGAAGTAAATGGAAAGGGACTAGGTTTTAAATAAATGATGCCTTTTGTTGGTGGTTCTGTTTTGGTGAAAGACGTGAATTGAGGTTTTTTTATGTACTTTGAGCGCATTTGTTATCAAGTTTTAAAAGAAAGTCAGTTGAGCGCTACAAGCATTAAAAGGTTGAAGTCGTCGAGTGTAAAAAGTGGACGTTAAGACGGTTTAATCGGAAGCGTACTTTGCCGTTTACGAAAAAGTTTAATCGAAGTGCTGTGTTTTTTGACCGTTTGTTCGCTGAAAACAAGTTATGAGTTAAAAGGGGTTAATCCTCCATGAAAGGGCAAATACTGCAATTGTAATTACTACGCGAAGTTTGAGTGCAATAGAAAAAATGCAGTTCCGATGTATCGTAATTTTCTCTGTTTTTGCGTCCCTGTTTTTTTTAAATAGAAATCACAGTTACGACAGGAGATTGTGGATTTTTGATAAAAAAATGATCAAAGTCCTCGTGTGAGATCGAAGGGACTTCAGCGCATTTTTGTGTGGCAGATCAGTGTTTTATTAGCCAATATTGACTCCACCATCAATAAGATCTTGCCGAAAGCTACCACGTTCACTTTGTCGGTACCATTTTCTCACTTACCGTGCACTCGCAATTCGCGTTTGAAGTTTTGACTCCACCATCATTAAAATCCTTTGGGGGTTACCATATTCCCTTTGTCGACACCCACTTCTGATCACCCGCAACAATTCGGATTTGAAGTTTCGACTCCACCATCAGTAAGATCTCGTCGGGGGTTACCACATTCCCTTTGTCGATACACAGTTCCGACGTCCCGTTCATTCGTAATTCACATTTTGGTAGATTTCGCTAAAATCCCGGCATAAAATCGTATTCAACTTTTGGGTACTTCACATAGCTCGACCTTCTATTAGTGACACGAGAAAGAGAGACCGCGATTCGCGCTGTAAGAAACTTTTGGGCGCCCAAAGTCGACTACCCCTCGAAGCGCGCCGCGCAAAAGGTGGTTTATTTCGCCCCTAGGAAAAAAAACAAAATTCCGCCACGCAGGAGTTGTGCGCGTTGACAAGATCTTCCCGACGACACCAATTTGAAAACAATCGGAGAAAAACTGTAGAAGAAGATAGATAAAAACTGAAAAATCTCCAGGTTAGTATAATACGCTCGGGGATGGCGTCCAGATGTCGTCGACTCCAAATCTTGTAGCCCCATCCCTAACGTTCTTAATTACACGGCCCCGATAGTTACATGTACACTCCTTGTCTTTTTACAAGCGTTTTTCTACGGGCGCGCATTTACTGCCAGCCAGCCAGCCAGCCAGCCACCAGCCAGCCAGCCAGCCAGCCAGCCAGCCAGCCAGCCAGCCAAAGTGAGATTAAAAGCTACTTTTTACAAAAAAAATTTTTTGCAAAAATGCGCTAATAATTAACGTGTGCTTTAATTTTCTATCGATCGCTTGTTTGCGTGGTGTTTTCTCTGAGTGCCTGTTTTTCTTTCAGCCTAATTGTTTTATGTTTTTATTTGATCATTTGTAAATGATTCGAA